GGACGGGACTAAAACCATGTGTACCGCCAGCGCTAACACTGGTGGTACAATAAACCCATATTTTCCCTATTATGTCCCCGAAAATAAACAGCCACTCAAACTTACCACGCGGGTTGCAAAAGGGGCATTCCTATAGTACATGTCTATTGACCCTCCACTACTAGGCAATACGTACTATTCCTGATCACACTGACCCTGCAATTTTTTGGTGAAAGAGATTGAAGACGAGACGTGGAGAATTTCAGATGAAACTGTGTAGGGGATACAAACAACGGAAGGTCTTTACAGTGAATTTTTGTAACCGTGTATCGCTAAAAAAAGTTCAACTGATGGGACAGCAACTGGTACACTGAAAGCATAGGGTCATCAAATTGACTACCTTGGGATCATCACATGAGTATACCTGAAACAATGACCCAGGTAGCCAAACTGTGTATTTGCTGACCTTGCAGGATCATCATATCCAACCTGATGATTACCCTTGGTAGTCATTTGATTACTTGGGTTGTCAAATTAGGTTGATTCATTAATGAGGTTTGGGAGGGGGTGAAGCGTGCTTGTAACTTTCCTTTACCATTGGCCTGCATGCAATTAGTGTGTTTTAGGGTGGTGCACTATTGTGTACTGTTGCTCAATAAATGTAGTGGCACAGGAAAGCTGAAACAAGTTTTTATATGAATAATAAACTTTTATTTGCATAATTAACATCTGTCATTTCAATACAAGTTAAACTTCTTTACAAAATACTTTTTGACATCATTACCTTTATGCTTTGCAATTCGATCACAACTACAACCTGTATCAAATTTTTTTAGTGATCTGCATTGTACATATCATTTAATTTGTTAACATTATCAAAGCATTTTTAGTTCAATAGATTTATAAAAATAATGTAACCAATTTACTTTCATTTTTAAATTATCAACTAACATTTTGTTTAGATAAGGGAAAATATCAAAAAGCAATTTTAAACTAGACTGCAACTGGCTTAAGCCAGTGGCGGAGGATTCCCCTGCAAAATAGGCGTGGGAATGCTCTTACAAGGTCATGTGAAGGTCATGGGTTAAATTTGACCCAATATTCTGAAAGAGCATGTGCAAATTGGGGG